TGAATATACCTTGAAGACCATATGCTTAAGTGAAATAAACCAGACACACATGTGTAAATATCGTATAGTTTCCCTAGTATAAGAACCCAAAAGAAGAAATACAAATACAAATGTATAATACAACTAAAAGGAAAGAAGGAACTCAAGGACTAACTGACCAAGACAGGTAAAGGAGAAGAGCTAGGAAACATGAATAAGTCAAGTCATACAGTAATATGTAGAAGATGGGCAAGGCAATGATCCTGAGAATCTCCAGATTTAATTGGAAAATTAAGTTAATTGGAAAAATTCTCACCCTGACTGTGTATACTGATACCTGTGAACTAAGCTACTGCACTGCAGATGGTAATTTGTGATAGTACCTTCATGCTTGGAGAGCCTGTCATTTTGGTCTTCTGAATATGGGCTGCTTGTCATGACATGCCAGTTGCTGCTGAGCTGTCTCTCGGGTAGATGATTGTTCAAAAAGAAGGGGGTGGTGAATGATAGCAAGAGACAGGAAAAGGAATATTGTAGGACTGTCCTGCTTCAAGGTTGTATATGGTGAGATTTTTGACTTATGTGTAAACACAAGAATTATATAATTCTTTATGCCTATTTTTAAAATATATTCTAATTTTTAAATGTGATTTTATCATATTCTGTAGGGACTTAAAATTCAACATATTAATACTTGATGAAACATACCTGTTACACATTATGCCTAAGATGTTTGATATGCAGACAGGTAGTGAGGTTAAGTTTAACAGCCTAAGTTGTATGGTAATAACAATAAGCTTGTCTTCTGGATGGTTAACAACCGAAGTTTGCAGACCAAAATGGGAGAAAAAGAAGATTGCAAGGAAAGCCAACATTTCGGCCCTAGCCTTCCAAGGTCAATTAAGACTCAGGATATATGAGAACTTGTACTGTAACATAATGTAACTCGGTAGTGTCCTGAATTTTCTGATCAAGGAGATTATGGGGCCAAAGAGGAAAGTGATCGATGATGTAGAGTGTGCCTAAGGAGAGTCACATGGAGAGAAAACATTCTCTCAGGCTTTCACAGAGAGCACATTGGCCAAGC